TTGTTAATACCAGAAGGAGTAATGGTAAACTGGCAAGAACAGAGACACAGACTAGACACATTAGAGAAAGCAGAGCTTTTTTATGATCACTACTTTGGACAGCAAGAAGAAGAAAGGCTGAGAAGGGAAAGAGGAATTAGACATCAAGGAGATCAGATAGAGAAACAACGGGGTGAGTATAGCAAAGAACAGGAGGAAAGGGTGTTGGTAGAAGGAGTAAGGGCAAAAGAGGCAAAAGAGCAAAGAGAGATGAGAATGATGAGATCAGCTAAAACCTTAAATAAATAATCATGGAAGAAGAGATAAAAATAATCTTGATAAATATAAATGGATTAAACTCGACCATAAAAAGGAAAAGAACACTAAATAAACTGGGGAAACTAAAAATGGACATAATTTGTTTACGAGAAGTTCATATTAGGAAACAACATAAAAATTTATTAGAATATCCAAAATTGGGAGAATTATATACCTCACTTGCGGACCAGAGTAAAAGAGGTGTGGCATTATATATTCAGAAAGCAATACAAACTAAATTGATATATTCAGATGAAGGAGGACGAATATTAATTATTCTGACCCAAATCTAAAGTGTTCTCTTTTAAATCCAGTCAGATAGTTAACTCAAAAGAAACGATCTTATAATAAACGAAATATATTTTAATGAGAAAGATTACTTGTGTTCACGTTGTGATTGGTGCTGCTGGAAATACGTCTTTGTTCATCTTTTAGATCATCCCTTTAGGTAAGAAAGTATTGCTCTTTATACCATCTTTATAATGACTCAGGCTTACTGTGTGACCTTCTATGGCCCATGCTTCTTACAGACAAAGAGATTCCCAAGTGGCTTGTGTCCCAAGTCTCCCAATGACCTTTGGAACTCCTCCCACTGACTCATCCACATACCTAGCATTTAACCCAATAACTGCCAGACACTCCAATATAGAGCTATGGTCCATAGAGCTATATGGGCCAGAATATTAATAGTGGAAGTAATTATGAACTGTAAAAAATCATTATTGGCAGCAATTTATGCTCCAAATGAAAATCAAGAGAATTTTTATCTAAAATTACATAAGAAAATAATAGAACTGGAATATGAAAGCATATATATGATTGGAGATTTTAATGCTATTGTAAAGCCTGAGCTGGATTATAATACAACAAAAAAAATAAGACTCTAAGAAGAACACTTCCTAAATCCTTCTATAATATGGTGGATGAATTAAATATACTTGATGCTTGGAGAGAGAAATATCCGGAAAAGAAGCAATATACGTTCTATTCTAACAGACACCTGTCCTGGTTGAGAATTGATATGACATGGATGTCAACAGATTTATTTACAAATATACAAAATATAGCCATAGAAACAAGCACATGGGCGGATCACAACCCAGTTACAATCATATGGAAAGGACAAAAAAAGAGAACAAGATGGACATTAAACCAAACTATATTGAATGAAAAGGATTTTCAGCAATATATGAAAAAAGAAGTACTTTTCTTTTTTAAGGAAAACAAAAAAGAAGATATTTCACTTCAAAATGTTTGGGGTACGGCAAAAGCATACATGAGAGGAGTTGCTATGACTTATTTGGGGGAAAAGAACAAACAGAAAAGACAAAATAAGGGAAAACTGGAGGAAGAATATAAGACACTTGAGAAAGAATTACAGAAAGATACACAAAACAAAAAGATTAAAAATTTAATGGAACTGAACAAACATAAAATGAACTTATTAGAAAATGAAGAAGTGGCAATGAAAATAAAGGCAGCTAAGCAAACCTTTTTTGAGCATGCAAACAAACCAGGGAGATGGTTGACATATAAAATTAAAAAGGAGAAAGAGAAGAGATGGATTAAACAATTGGAAGATGCTGAGGGGATTTTACAACATCAATATGAAGAAAAGAAAAAAATTCTTAATAAAAAATTATATTCAGAATTTTAGTAAGTTTTGAAGAGATAGGGTGGGGCATAGTAGCCACTTTTCACTGCAGTGAGGTAAAATATATTTTGATGCATGATACAAAAACAGTGCCTTATATATTTGCATCAGACATCAGGATGCCAGTAGCTATGGGCAGGATCTCCATTAGAATGTTAGCATGTGCATCATTTTGACATAAGCTTGGTTTGCTGTAGATGCCTAGTCACTGTTACTGAAAACCAAGTTTCAGTTAAAAAAAAAATAGTTAAGCCAAATGACTTATTTTCTTAGTGACTCTGGTACATGGACTTTCTCTTGCATTATTGGGAAGCTCAGAGATGAGTTATTATGTATGGATGCTGCAAAAACAAAAGTCTTAAATATTTGGAAAGCAAATAGCAATTCTTATAAGCTATCATTGTATGGCTTCATCTGTTCTCATTCAGTAGAAACAGTGGTTACTATACTAGGATTAGTCATGACATCTATATCAGATGAACCAGCATTGGTTGATGTTTGGTAGAATTTGGAGGGAAGCACCTCTCATTGTCCTTCCAGCTTTTGCAGTTGACCACAATATCTTCTGGACCACTTCCAAAAATTGGATTTGTGGCATAGTGTTATGGTAGTTCCATGAGTGAATGGATCCACATAATGGTTGCATGGGAAAGAAGTCAAAAAAGCAGACTCGCAATTTGGGAGTCCTGTATTCATGGCTCCTGCTCAAAGTATAGTTAACTATCATGGCTAGGAAAGCTTTTACATAGCTGCACCTTCTGTGTCTGTTGCAGTCTTACCTGGAACACAATGCACTGGAGGCAGCCATTCATACCCGTAGCATCTTTTGATTAGGCTACTGTAACTTACTATACATGGGCTATCATTGAAGACCATGTGAAAATTTTAACTGGTCCAGAATGCAATGATACATGTGCTTAGTCGCTTTGTCTTGATGCTGCCCTATTTTATCATGTACTTTTGCTGCATGAGCTGCATTAGATTATTAAAGTCTCTGAGTGCAATTCAAGTTACTGGTTGCTATCTATGACATCTTATGTGGCTCAGAGCCTGGATATTTTAGAGACTGCCTTTCCCCATTAGTTTCTGTCAATCCTATTGGATAATAAGGGAGTGCCCGCCAAGGATTTTCATCTCTGGCAAATATTCTTTGCAGCCTCCCTTCTTTGGAAAGACTTAACCACTTAAAGCACACATAGACCCCACCCACATGGCATTCCAGAACCAACATAATATGTAGCTCTTCCAGAAAGGCTTTTGGGGATTAATTACAACCAAGAGGACTATACTGAACTACTGTATTTCAATTTATAATTTTACTATTCAATTGAAAAATTAGGTTATGGTTATGAATTTTATAATTTTAAGAAATCACAATATGATTATGATTGTAAGTTTTGTCCAGGTTTCAAGCAATAAACAAATTGCATTAATCAATGTAGAAATATAGCAATGAAACATAGATTTAAGAGTTTTGTAGTAAAATGCCATCCTTTATTCTCCTGTGTAGTCATTGATTCATCTTGTTTGTTCAACATAGCTGTGGGTTGTGTGTGATATTTAAGCAGAAATAGTAAAATAATGCCTGAATCCAAATATATTTCAATGGACATTTGTCTGCAATTTAGCTTACTGCTGAAAGTATCCTTATTGTCACTTAGTGAATTACTTGTTAAAGTTAATTAATGTTATTTAACTAGAATGAATAGGGAAATTTACTGGGTCAAAAAAGTTCTGGTGTTATTCTTAACTCAATTATGATCCATCACTGGAAAATTTAATGCATCTGAAGATATTAATTTTTAAAATGCTGGGACTTTGGGGAAGTGCTCCAACTTTATGAATTAAAGATTTCATCTACTTTAGCAAACTCTTCACTTGCAGTATAGAGTTTGGTGTAATAATGAATGCACAGGAAAAAATAATGAGTAGAGAACAGAGATGTCAAATAATTTACTCAAATATATACTGCAGTTCCTGAAGCTTTCAATATTTTATTGGCATTTGCTTTCTTGATATGTTTTTCAGATGTTAGAGTTCTGCAACAGAAAAGTCAGGTAGTCCTCGACTTACAACCATTTATTTAGTGATCATTCAAAGTTACAACAGCACTGGAAAAAGTGATTTATGACCATTTTTCACATGACCATTGCAGCATCTCCATAGTCACATGATCAAAATTTGGGCACTTGGTAACTAACATGTATTCATGACAGTGGCAGTGTCCTGGAGTCATAATTTGCAACTCTTCCAGCTAGCTTCTGACAAACAAAATCAATGGGGGAAGCCAAATTCATTTAACAACCACATAATTCAACTAACCCTTAACAAATGTGCCAAAAAAAAGTCATAAAAAGAGGCACAATTCACTTAACAATTGTCTAGCTTAGCAAAGGAAATTTTGGGCTCAATTGTGGTCATAAGTCAAGGACTACCTGTACACTATATTCTACATGTCTATTTTTTCTTTCCAGATTTTTCCCCCTCATTCATTTCAGTTTTTTTTTTATTGCAATAATCAGTTAAATGGTTGAATCCATCCATTTGGATTAAGTTGCACGGATATAACTAACACTTTTGGCTTGGATGGGATTCCATATAGGTGGGTGATTTCTGTTCATATTATTGAAGCATGTCACTTTTTGTGAGTTTACTAATAATGTTGTTCCCTTTCTAAGTTTAGCTATACTGCAATTTTAAACTCAAATGATGTCCTTCAAATCAAAATGAATTTGGATGGTCATTTATGAATATTTTTCTATAACAAGTATGATCCTATGAATATCCTGTAATAGGATTTGATACATTTAAAGATCTTCTTCACATTAGTTGAAGAATATAAAATATGAAAGACAATATAATGCTAAAACACTCATTATTCCAGATGATATAATCAGGAACAGAAATTCCCCCCAAAAATATAATTTTTTAAGGAATCCAGATTACAGTCTAACAAAACTCATGCTCTAATAAGTAAGGTTTTGTTCTAAAAATTGAAGACAGCTACACTTCTGGAAATACTTCAAGAAAATTATGTTCTGTTGTCCAGGTATCACCACAGTATTAACCATGACAACTCTGAGCACCATTGCAAGAAATTCCTTGCCACGTGTTTCCTATGTCACTGCAATGGATCTTTTTGTGACCGTATGCTTCTTATTTGTCTTTGCTGCTTTGATGGAGTATGCAACCCTGAACTACTACTCAAGTTGCAGGAAGCCACACTGTACAAAAAAGAAAAAGTCGGTAAGATAAAGTCCTATTGAAAATGGAGCACAATTCTTCTGCATTATCACAGAAATTAGTAATCAAGTGGATTTAGACCTTAAATAAACATTTTGGTTAATGCTGTCTAATAAGAGGAGTTTGCTGTAAGAGTCCTCTGTACTAGAAATGCACAGAATTAGTGCATTGAAATGATTTCACACATTTATTTTATTCTTTTTCATTTTATCCCAACTGAAAATAACAGTCATGAGATGTGCAGCTGTATAAATATGATTGATTGATACTAATTTTAGTGTACTATATAGGAATTCTGGGATCTGTATATCTAATGTAAAATGGTTGTGCCTAATAAATTATTGCATTAATTTTAACAAATTCAACAATTAGAATAATGACAGTGGATTATCAGTGACAAGGACCTGGTCTTAGTAACTGTTCAGTGCAGTCATGCCTCTACTGACAACCATGCATTCAAATTCTACTATGATTTTACTCAACCTAAAGCCCAGCTGCTAGAAACAATTGCATTATTTTGAAGTTGGTTTCTTGCAAAACTTTAATCTGTAAATAATACTAATATCGACCATGAGAATCAACAATGACTTGATGCCACTTAATCAATTAGTGTTAATATAGTTTTAAAACAAAGAAATATTTTAAAAGTAGAAAAACAACAAATTTCTGGCTTTGCTCATATATGTAAAGCCCAGTACATTTCCATTATTTTCCTTCTCGCTGCAACCTTTCCACCTCTATAAAGCATCTGTGAGATTGCTCACATCTGACACCAAATAAAATTTAGCAGACCCTTAATTGGTATTGATGTTCATACAAATAGGAATGATTAGGGCACTAGGCTATCAAAGCCCCATAATACAACACTGCAAATGTGATGATTTTTCAGTTAACTAGAACCTATAATACAAACCTCTTTTTTGTTTCTTTGTTTGAACAAGTAGAATTTGCTCCCATAGATCACTTCCCTGTTATCTCAATTTTTTAGAAAAAAAAATAGTTACTTTGTTTTAAATTCCAGAGAATATATGCGTTCTGTAGGCAAGAAATTAGTATTTGAAAATTCACTTCTACTTGAAATCAGCACAAGGGTTAGGATTAGGACTGGGATTTGGGGTTAGGTTTACAGAAAGATTGGTGGGTAATTGTAGCTACAGATGAATCATATGGCTTGCTCTGCTGAGTTGAAGATCTCAATTTAAATTAAGCATTTCCCAATGATATCCATGAAAAGGTAAAAGAATATATGTTATCTTAGAATTCAGGGGAGTCAAACTGCCGTCCTTTAGGCCGGATGCATAACACTAAAACCATGCCCACCCCATTGCCAGCAATGGGGAAAAAGTCATAATACATCGCGACATGTCACCTGACATCACGAGTTTGACACCCCTGTCTTAGATCTTGTTGTATAAGGTGGACACTTATCAGAAATAAAAGGGATAAGACAACTCTAATCATATTTACTCAGCATGTTTATTCAAAGTAAACACAAAATTGTGCTGTTAAGTACTTATGGAACCTTTTATGATTTCATTAATAATTAAAATATCAAAAAAATTATAATGTTTTATAACTTGTGTTCTTATACTTTATTTTTTTATTTATTTGAGCTGCCTGATGTCAGCTTTGGTCACATGATGGTGAGTATGAATATTTTAAAACTTAGTTTTTTATTTATAACATCATATATTATAAAATTCATTATAATTTTAATTAAACAACTATTATTATTACTCAGTCTTAAAGAACCATGCCATCATACTACATCTTAAATCTGTTATATTCCCACTAACCATTTCACATGGGGAGATCAACAAAATTGTCTTTGGGTTGTTGCCCACTATCAGTTCAAGTGCTGAGTTCACCTATAAATCCCTGATTCATCAAAAACATTATTCCAATACAACATTTGCTTCAGACTTTGCCCATCCCTGTTCTGTATCTGTTTCCAATCATTGCTTGATATCAATGCAAGGGATTATATGGCAATGCCTAATTCTCTTTATAGACTTTGAGGTTCCCCTTGCATATATCTTGGCAAATAAAGTGTCAAAGGAAAACTGGACAACATGGTTTCTTTGGATTGCCTGTATTAGACCCAGGAAACTTCAAACTTCTGCTGCCATGGTACAGCCTATTTGTCTCTTTTTTTCTGCAGAATTACTCTGTGTTAGAGATGAGACCTCCCTCTACAGTCATTGCACTGAACAATGCCATGTACTGGCAAGAATTTGAAGACAATTGTATCTATGAGTGTCTGGATGGGAAAGACTGTCAGAGTTTTTTCTGCTGTTATGAAGAATGCAAATCGGGCTCCTGGAGGAAAGGGCGGATACACATAGACATCTTAGAACTAGACTCTTATTCCAGAGTCTTTTTCCCCACATCGTTCCTGCTTTTTAACCTGGTCTACTGGGTTGGATACCTCTATCTCTAGAAACAATGATAAAACTGTGTTTTTCCTACTTCTTAGGGATGGGGACTGTGTGGAAAGACAGATCCTGAATGGTTTTATTGGAAAGCTTGAAAGGTCACCTCACTTTTTCTCATCCAAGAAAACGTTTTTATTCATTGTTTTGTCGAAAAGGGAAAAATGTACTTCACATCTGAGTTTTTTGCTAACTACCCCTGACACAATCATGTAACAATGTTTATATTAATTGTTATCATACAATGGAGAAGTTGCTGTTTTCTTTGGGTTACAGTTAACTATGTAGCATACAGATAAGCAAGATAGGAATGTTTTGATTGGTCATTCTTATGTTACTTCTGTCTTTTAAACTTGTTTTGGAAACAAGTTTTTATTGGTACAGGTTATCCACAACTTTGTTTTGAGGAGAATCTGAGTTCCATGAAAAGTCACTTCAGTTCACTTCATGGGTTTCAGGTGGTCTTCATTTGAGATGAAAAGGCATAAGTTCAAAAAACAAAAACAAAAAACCCTTTACATTTGTTTTTCACAAAATTGTTGAATTAAGCTTTCTTTTAATACAGAGTTTAACATTCCAGATATTGGGCAAATACTTCAGGAAACTAACTGATTTCTGGAATAACGCTCTTGCAATATGATAATGCTTAGTTTGCTTTTGGTACTGTGTAAGATGACTTTCTATGTAATAGTAGTGGAAAAGTATGATTCATTCCAAGCTACAGGTTAATTTCTTTCATACTTTACTATTTGTTTTCACTGATATTTTCAGGGTGAAAATATCAGTGAAAATATCTAGTTCCAGCTTGAATAAGATCTACTGTATCTGTGCTAATTAAAATCCATGTGCCTCGATGACTGTTCTGTGTAGGTTAAATTGCACATCCTATTGTTGCACCATTTGACTTGTGAAGTGGATTTTTCCATTTAAATGACTGCAGAACTACTTGCTATTAGCATCCTCACCTGGTAAGTGATCTTTGGATTGGCATAACAGTGGCTTTTTTTCTTAGCAGATCAGTAGAATCCTTAAGAATGCAGACAGGATTTTCTTGGCAAGAAAATGAGATGTTGGGAGTTCAGTTAAAAGTTAAAAAATTTAGTGATGCAGAATCACTAGGACTTTTTTTAAACTAGATTTTAAACTGGAAATGTATTTTGTACTTTTGGAACATATTTCAGATATTAAATTCCTGAAAATAATACAGTCTTCTGTTGTAAAATATTCATAGTCAAGTCCAATTCTAAAAGGCTAATTAAATGTCTCAATAGTTATTTATTTATTTGATTATTTACTTATTTGTATTTCTATTGAAAACATATATTTACTGTTAAAAAAAGTTTGCTCTCCCTGTCCCCTCTCAAACTCTAAGCATAACAGTATTTTTAAAAGTGTAACTCTGATACTATCAAATGCCTTTTTTTCCACTGTGAACCTAAGGACTCATTTTACTTGCTCCAAATATTTAAATAATGTTCACACTTCATATTGTTCTATATTATCTCCTTTTCTCTTGGAACTTAGTATTAAGGACTTATTCAAATGTTCAAGAAATGAATATTTAATACCAAAATTATTAGTAGGAAACGGAAAGTATATTTGTTTGATAGTAAAATGTACTTTATAAGAAGAGGGCATAAATTTCAATTTCAGGCATTTTCAGATAGAGCTGAGAAGAACTATCTGAACTACACAGAGATCTGTTGTTATTAAAACATGGCAGTTAGCTAGACCAATGATTTGATCTAAAATAAAGTTTTACTGTCTATTACATATTCTAAATTCATGTTCACTAGGTAATGCTTCAGAACTGTAAATGCTAATTCAGTAAGATTGCTGGATTAAAAAATGTACTAAATTTTACCAAATGTTTTCCAAAAATATACGTGTTTATTTTAGATGAAAAAAAAACAGACAATTTATTAGCAGACGTTGAAGTCTTTCAACTTAAATATTGATATTGGATTTTTTTTCAATTCATTTCTTCTCAATTTTTACAAAACTTCAAGAACCAAAGTGCATTTTTTTCAGAAAGATGTATTTAATTTAAATAATATATAATAAAACTCACACAAGACACTGTTACAAAAACAAAGAACTACAGTGTTAAACTGATGGGCTATGTAAATATGAGAATAATTTTCTGGCAAAGGATCCTGTAAACCCTCAGCTAGTGAAGTTAAATTGAGCTTACTGCTTGTTGCTATCATGAATGAACTTTCTTTTTAGGATACTGCAATCCTAATTTGTTTAAATTAACTGGAAACATGACACAGAGTAGAATAATTGCTGAGAATTGTCACACTGTAGACAAAATGGCATATTTTATGTGCAATTTCATAACATATATAATCAGAACACATATTTTATAGGATATGACTTGTATATTTGTCTCACTTTCTATTGTATATCATCTAAACAAGACATTTGATACAATCAAATAGAAAATAAAGTTGTGCTCACAAACATAGTGCCCTCCCCCCCAGCCTCTGGAATCAAAGCATATTAAATTAGCCAAACTATTTTGTACATATCTTGGTTAATGTGAATGATATAAAGATTTTCTTTCATGATCTCTAAAATCGGTTATAGACAAGTTGCACTTACAGTAATTCATAAGCTAATCAGACATTTTGGAATTTAAAATACTTTGAAAATAGTTTTCTTCCAAGGAGTGTTGAAAAGTAGCAAATTCCCTCTTTATTATCTTTCAGAAGCAGAATGAATGCAGCTGTCATTTGTTGAGCAGTGCCAATCAAAACTTGTAGCCATACACAGTTGGTGAAACTCCTCATTTTCAGACTTGACATTCCTCATTTTCTAATTAACTCATGGGTTGATCAAGACATTTTTCAATGTCACTGGTTACATTGCAAGTGATTTATATTTGCATAGCAATTAACTCTTTTTCTTCAACAGAATCATAGCTTTTTCTTCCTACTTCCCAAGAACACTCTTGGATCTGAGCAAAAAAAAAAAAAACCCAGTGAATCACTAGGTGGTATTAAAAAGCTTGGGTTTTCTGCATGACTTTGCAGTCATCCAATGGACATCTAGGATTGCAGTCCAGATCTGATAACCCTGACATTGTACAATTAATGCACTACATTATTTCAATTTTCCTGTTTGAATTAAAAACTTAATGTGGGATATTATAATATTATAACAGCTACGAGAATGTTCCTATAATTTCTTTCCAACTGAAAATATTTATATTCTAACTGAATCTACTGCTGCTGATTTCTTTGCTTATCTTTTGAATTACTGTGCTCAACCTGTCTTCCTATCCTTTATTTATTTTTAGAGATAGTTCACTGTTCCCGTGAAAATTTTTGTGGTCTTCAATAGCCATCATGAATTATTCTTTTTTAGTATCTACAAGGCATGTTTTAGGAAAGTGATCTGTGAGCAAAGTGCAATTGTTTCACAAAAATACAACTGATGCCAGTACTGTTTATTTTTATTGTCTTATGAAACACTTTTCCTTGAGGAGTACAACCAGCCAAGATTGCGCAGATGGAAACAAATTATGAAACTTTTCAATTAATTTATAAAGGCTCCTTATAGAGTAATGGCTTTAGAGTTCATTATTTTTTTTATTTTTGTTCCACATAATGTGTGGGATCTTTTTTATTATTAATGTTATTTACTTAGAAATCTGTTTATGTGGTTACTAGGCATCAATACTGAGTTGATGATACATAGTTATAATCATTACTTAATTTTATCTAATTTTCATCATTAATAAGTAATCCCAATCTTGCGGTATCAAGATAAAAACATATTACCAGTTAAAACCATAATAAAGAATAGCAGGTATGAAAACCCAATGGCAAAAGCAATTAACACTGACAAGTCTTCAGCTGGTCTGGAAGCTTTCAAAGCTTGGTGTTGGCCCCCAATAAACAGGGAGAGGATGTCACGATTGGACACGATTGGACACCTTTCTCTAAAAGTCATGGAGAATCTGTCTTGATCACACTTGCCATTGAGTGATGGCATGGTTCAAAAGGTGATCAGATAAAGTGGATGACCTCAGAACAAAAACAAAAACCAAATTTAATAGTGTTAGTGTGATTATTCTCATTAATTTAATTTAATGTTGCACATTAAACGTGACACTGAAGGCTTCATATTTCCTCTTCCAATTAACATAATCCAGAAAGCTGCATTCATACAATACAGTTGTTGATTATCGGTGCAAGTTAAGGATCCAATTAATTTTTTTTTAATCAGGCTTTCTTTCTTTCCTAAACTACAGCTGTTGAATATCTTGTAAGTAAATGTTCTTAACGTACTTCATTCTTCCCTAATCTGATAACTCTGAAATGAATTGAAGCATAGTCCCCATCATCTCAACCAGCATTGTGTCTGTCATTCAGACTGGAATTAAGGAAGTTGACTTTATATGCAATTATTGCTTTACAAGTAATATTGGCAGCCTCTGTTTGTTTATCTGTTAATGTTTATTTATTCATTTATTCTGTTTATATACCATATGTTCCAAATCAACAAGCTGATCCCCCAGAATTAAATATAAAAAGGAAAGGACACTTAGTCTGTAGATCAGGACTGTCAAATTGCCGGCCCGCAGGCCGGATGCATCATAACAAAACCACGCCCATCCCATTGCTGGCAATAGCAAAAAAAGTCACGGTACATCGTGACATGTCACATAATGTCATGAGTTTGACACCCTTGCTGTAGATGTACAATTTTGATCCACTGTGAATTTTCAAATAAGCTGTCTTTAGTCATACTATCAAATTGAGCATTTGTTGAGCACTTACTGCCTTGTAAAAGTACTCACATCTTTACAGGATTCACCTGTTCAATTATCCTGACCTTAGGTCTTAATTTAATGCCCTTCCCCCCCCCCAGTAAATAAAAAAATTGGATTGATTCATACAGACTATTAAAAGTTAATGGCACTACACAATATCTTGTAGATCTAGGAGACTGGTTGGAATTCGGAAATAACTTTCTAGAATAAAAGTACAGTTGCCCCCCTAATTTCAATGAACTAACAAGGAAATTATACTAATTAAGTGGTGCTACAACCATGCCCTGAAAGCTAAAATCCATTATTTTTAGTTTACATACCCTTGAGTATTACCTGGGATGGGTATCTTCTTTCTCCAGATATGCAACTTTGGGAAGGACACACATGGAGCAGGGTGAGACAAGTCAGCCAGATCAGCTGGATTAGTCTTGATGGGTGACAGATATAACAGCCAATTCATCTTCACACCAACATTTTATTTATATTACATCTGCCTGAGTTAAATAGTTGAGTTTTGTTTTGTTCTTATTTCAGACTATTTAGCGATACAAAATAAAAAAACCCAAAATCTAACTATCAAACTCACATCCTTCTTAAATTCACAAGTTTTGTAAAAAGTTCCAAAGAAGTTCCAAATACATTTTTAAAAAAAACTAAATCAAATAACTTTTACTACAATATTTGCACATGGAACAAATTCCATTGCTAAAACAAATGTGAGGCTAGGCAAATATACTAAACATGTTACATGCAAGTAAGTTATAACTTGAAATATGCTCTTTGGCAGAATTGAAGCCCAGTTCCTTTCTGTTACAGTCTCCAAGTCTCTGCATTGTGTATCCTTCTGCCTTCACTCTAGCACTGATGTAATCTCCTAATTGATCTTAACATGGCACATTGTGTTGGAGGTAGACCTAAAGGCAGCCAACAGTGCTGGTGTTTGATTCCAGTGCTAATAATATGTCACTTTCCATGCTGTGACTTCTTTACTTGATCATATCAGAAATTCTCTTCCCATAGAGCCTAATAGAATCAAGCTATAATTTTTTAAAGTTACAGTTGTTAAAAACAAAACAAACTTCAGTCACATAATGTAACACTACTGTCTAGCAGTTTTTCCTGAAAAACTTTATCTTATGCTATGTAATAATTCCTGTAAGTCCTGGAGGATTTTACTGATTATTCACATAAGGCACAATCTGGATTTCAGTGCTCAGGATTCTCTAATTGTCAAGACAATTACCAAGAATTCTGGAAGTTGAATTCCAAACACATAGAATGTATCCGG